CTCCGAAAACAACACAATCAACAGGAAAGTTTATCATTTATATTAAAGTTGGGTATGAAAAGAGAATATGTATTTCTCTCAACCTCATCCCTCCCCCCACTTCCACCCCCCCCCCAAATTGTATTTAGGAATTTCTTCCAAAACTGTAAGTGGGCTGCAGTTCAACAAAACAATACTCTGACATATTTTGTTTCTTCTGTTTCAGCCAAAATCTTCAGGCAAAGATGCACAGCCAGTACATCTCACCCCTTTCGTCTCTTCATGGTTTGGGCTACATCTTTTTTTTTTTTTTTTAATTTGATTTATATGCCGCCCTTCTCCGAAGACTCAGGGCGGTTTACAATGTGCTCAGCAATAGCCTTCATCCTTTTGTATATTTATACAAAGTCAGCTTATTGCCCCCACAAACTGGGTCCTCATTTCACCTACCTTAGAAAGGATGGAAGGCTGAGTCAACCTTGAGCCTTGGCGAGATTCGAACCCTGCAGTAATTGCAGGCAGCTGGTCTTAATAAGCTTAATAACAGGGTGCCTTAAACCCCTGTACTACCAAGGCTCATCTCATCTGCTGATTTTCTTAACACCTCCTTTTCCCTTTCTCCCTTTAGCTCTTCTTTAGCTACCAACAACCTTGGGTTCAAGTATAGCATACTGAACCAGTCATCTGCCTCCCACCTTCCCAGCACAATTTTCCTTATCTCCACTAAGCCATGTTGTGCACCTTTTGAATTAGTTAATGTCCCTGGCCTGTTCCAGTGGTGAAATTCAGCAGGTTCTGACAGGTTCTGGAGAACCGGTAGCGGAAATTTTGAGTAGTTCGGAGAACCGGCAATTACCACCTCTGGCTGGTCCTAGAGTGGGGTGGGAGTAAAGATTTTGCAGTATCCTTCCCCTGGAGTGGGGTGGGAATGGAGATTTTGCAATATCCTTCCCCTGGAATGGGGTAGGAATGGAGATTTTGTGGTATCCTTCCCCTGGAGTGGGGTGGGAATGGAGATTTTACGGTATCCTTCCCCTGCCATACTCACCAAGCCATGCCCACAGAACCAGTAGTAAAAAAATTTGAATTCCACCACTGGCCTGTTCCATTTCTCTCCCAACCCCCAAAAACACAAGTTTGTGAGTCTCAGTCTAGATGCAGACCATTGAAAATAAGTGTTCTGCATATGATATGCTCGTGCAACTAATTTTATATATTCCTAATTTAAGAGGGGTGCTTTGAAATGTGCAAGAGTGCAAATGAAGCTCTTCTCTTTCAGTCTAAATTAAAGCAGCTATGTTCCTTACGTGGCTCATACGTGAGGTGCTCTGGAAGCTGTTCCTGACATGCAGACAGAAATAGCCGAAGCAGATTTCAACGCAACTATGTCTGCAAAATATGCAGTTTTAACAATAAGATGAGAGAGGAGCTTCGTTTGCACTCCCACATATTGTGAAGTTTCTCTTTACACACTTCTAGTATTGCTTCCCAACTGAAGCAAGAGGCATCTTTCGATGACAATCATTACCAGATTTGAAACTCCCCAAGAGTGTTTACTACTGGAAAAAATGTTATTTATCATTATTATCACCATGTAGCATTAACAATCCTAAAGCAGGATGCTAAACAGTAAACAGAAAAACTAAGTAGGAGAAAAAAATCAAACTAGCCAAATCATAAAAAGATAGTAACTTCAAAGCGTGATGACAACAAAACATAGACATAGCACAAGTACTTGTTCTCCATTCAGATAAAAAAGAAATTACCGGTAGCTTTAAAAGCTAAAGACCTGACACAGCAACTATCTAAATTAACAGTTCCCAAACCTTGGTTCTATAATCTCAACCACTGGCACTGCTGAGTGAGGATTACAATGCACACTAGTCAGCGTTTGGGTTAAGTTTAAAGTTGGAAGCCATTTAAAAAGCTAAATGGCTTTTACAAAGCTAAAACAAAAGCTTTGTTCTCTTTGAGAACAAAGAACAGCTTTATTAGATGAATCATGTTTAGCCATCAAACAAAAATGCAACTAAACCACAATACCAACTTTCTCAGGTGCTAGCAACTCTACAGTAAAAAGTTTGTGCACTGTCTCTTGACTTAGAGAAAGATTCCTTTAAGATAACACATTGAACGTTATTTAATTAAATCTTCTTTCTTACAGAGATTCAGTGATTAACCCAACCAATTGGTTTTCTTTTAATTAGCTCCAAATAAGCCAAAGGCTTAATGAGAGCAGAAATCTGCACAGGAATCCATTTTTATCTATTACATATGCATAGATAAGCCTGACCAATATTTTGTTTCTATTTGAAAAATGGATATTGTAGCTGCTGCTTGGCATTAGAACAATTAGATTTCTGGATAAAGCATGTGGATAAAAGCTTTGTACTGCTTTTCCTGGTAGTGGTGATGGGGACAATTAAGGACGCCAAGTAGTTTTCTGGACTGCTGAAAGGGAAGAGGTTCAGTTTGTACTCTGAAGTTAATGCCAAAAGACTATTTCAAATAATCTACCATGTTTCCCTGAAAATAAGACCCTGTTTTATATTTTTTTGAACCTTGAAATAAGCGCTTGGTCTTATTGCCATGTGCTCAAAAGCCCGATTGGGCTTATTATCAGGGGATGTCTTATTTTGGGAGAAATAGGGTACCATTTTTACTGTCCTTTAATTTATATAAACCAAATAACTCTACAGTTCTGAGCACTCTGATGTGCAGGACTACAACTCCCAAAACTCTGAGCCCACGTGGCCACTAGAAGTTACTATCTAGCACATCTGGAAAGAATGACATATTATACACATTGTCCAAAACCCCTTCCAGAAGAGCTACATTTCAAACAGTCATTTCTTGTGGCAACTTGTTCAGCAATAATTCAACAAGTATTGTTGTGGCCCGCCAGCGGCCTACGCGGATTGTGGCTGATCCCAACAACGAGGAGGATGGTGTGGTGTCACGCCAGCAGCATCTGTAGCCGGCACTCGAGTCGGACAGCGAGGAGACTGCAGAAGATGTGGTGCCACAGGCAGGGATTCAGCCAGGGCCTTCAGAACCTCCAGAAGCTCCCATAAGTGAAGAGGAAGAAGAGGAGGAGCCTCTTCTCAATGCTCGAGCATGCAGGGCTGCCAAAAGGCAGGAGTGGCTACTCAGGAGGAGGTCTCCTCGAGAGTAAGGCTTGGGGTTAATTGGCCACTCCCTTAGCCTATTTAAATTCGCACACAGATAGCAAACGTTGCTGGAAACGTTTGGTCCTACGCAGAGCATTTTGAGAGTGAGTTTTTTTGTTACAACTTGGTTTCTAGGCTGATTGCCAACCCTTGTCAGACTTTGTTTAATCTCTGTAATTCATAGCAGGCTGATAAGGACATTTGTGGTTAAAGGCTGCATTTTGAAAGGGGTCTGTTTGTATTAAACGGAGTTTTTGGAGCTGTGTGTGTGTGCTACACTTCTTGGGACCCGTAGCTGGGGCAGAACAAGTATTGTCCCAAAACCCCTCTGGAAGAGCTCTGTATTCCGTTTCTTCCACGTGGCACACAATGTTGAGTAAAGACTAATCTCCAACAGTGTCACTTTTCCATCTCTGGGAGGCAGTGCTTTTGGCTATGGTCTCCTAAATGTCAGCATTCCAAGTAATAATCTCAGATTCCTCAAACAACAATTTTATTGGAGATATATTGGCACAACTGGTGAAAACCGACTCTGAAAGTTCCCGTGGTTTTCACCTAATTAAAAAGTGAAACTCCCCCCTTTCCCCAAACAATCAGTCACATTGTCCAATCAAGCTGCTTGCCAGTTGCCTGGTAACTTCATTCCTCCTTTCTCTAGCCACCTGTTGGAATATCCTTTGCTTCCCACAAGAAACTATTTTGACTACAAAACCCCATCTAACTATGTCCCCCCTCCCTATCCCTTCTTTGGGTTGTGACAACCCTGAAGCCTCCAAAAATGGCTCCATCCAGGTTCGCTTCAGAGTTGACACTAACCTTTCCAAAATGGAGGATAACCAGTTGATCTTTCTAGCATGAATAGAGTAGTGTGGAAAATTGTAGTGGGGAGAGGTGGTCCTGCAGCCACCAGGCCTTACAACACTTGATATTAGACTTTTAATCAGCCCTTAGAAGCTGAGAGGTAATCAGTGCAAGTAATCATGTTCTGATATTTGAAAACAGCCATATGTGTGTTTTAATATGATTATCTCAAGATGATAATTATTATTTACTGTTCACAGTTTCCACACAATAGTTTCTAAAATGCTCAACTGACTCCAACCTAGGGAAAGCAGAGATTAGGTATCATTATTTAAGTAAAGAAATTTAAAAAAAAAAACCCAAATCAGTGGAAACTTTGACAGGGGTAGGGAAACCAGGGCTCTGGTCCTTTCTTAGATACAGAAGCCAGATGGATGGCTTTAGGCCAGTTCTTATCTCTAGACTGGGAAGTCAAAAATATCTATCCATCGCACACAATGCACCATTGTGATAGATTAGCCCATAACCTTCAAATGAGACTTTCACTCATTTTCAGTGCATTGATTCATATAATACATACACGTGCACACTCATGCATGCAAATGTTTTTAAATGTGTCTGCATATTGTTCACACACACACACACACACACAAAATCCCATCCAATTGTCACAAATTGTTGAGTGAAACACAAATTATTGAGTGAAATACGATGAATAAAGTAAACTTAACAGGATAAATCCTATAATGTCAAATCTGGTAATGGAACTAAAGGGGGGGGGAATATATGGGAAACACATAAGGAGCAAAATTGAATGTGCTTTCTCCCTTAGTAATAAAACCCAAATGAACATGTCACTGTTAAAAAGATGTAGCATGGATAGTTTCTTCTTAGAAATGATAAGCATGCATTCATTTCTAAAATGGCAAAAAAAAAAAAAAACCCACCCCAACACGCTAAACTAAATCCCAAGCAAAAACAAAAAAGCAGTGGAGAACAGATGGTGTTTCAATGGCACCCTCATGCAACAAGGGTTTCTAAAGTACATACCTAGAAAGGTTCTCTTGGGAGCTGTTTTGATTTCTTCATCCTTACTATCTGCAGCTATATTAAAATATTGAAGAGAAAGCAAAGACAAAACAAAGTAGTTTGACTCCTCATAATAGCAAGGTCTGAAAGTGCTCTAAATTAGCTTAAAGTTAAGGTAGCTTGATGGCAGTCATCATGCTAGAATGCTTTTTTTAGATTAAAAAAACAATTTAATTTGCTGGATTCTGATATTAGTCATTCATACCATGCTCCCCAAAATTTAGAAAAACAAAAGAAACATTTAGAAAACATCAATGTACAAGAACCGTAGCTTAAGCAAATATTGAATGCATAGATCAGTATCAAGAAGTTATATTAGTTACCTATTTTACACTGCATTACATTTTTGTTCCCTAAGAGGATTGTGGAAAAAAGTAATGTAAGCAAAGATTTAGCTTAGCTAAATCAAAACAGCATGAAAGGGCTCATCTGAGACTGTTGATAAATGATGCTTTACAATCCAGCCAATAATTCAAGAGGTAAATATGTACAACAAGCTTATCTGAAATGTCAATAATTGAATTACAATATGAATAACAAATAAAATCTTAAGCTAGATTCACTTATCCAAAGTGGAACAAAGCTACAAAACCAGCATTTATTTTCGTTCTCTGTAGCCAACAAAATCTATTGTTTGATAAAAGCAGCTAAATTCTGTTCAACACAATTCTCTCTAAATTTTGCAAATCTAGGAAATAGTTATAAGATGGATGTTGAAACAAAGTCAGTAATTGCCTTCAATCACCACATATAAGTATCTCTTACACACACACACACACACACACCAACCCAAACATTCACATTTCCAAATTCATTTATAAAAATAAAAAGTATGAATTCAAAACAAAAAGCCAACAATGCAAACTATCAAAACAGGTTTTTGGATATTTCACATCATTAATTCATAGAATTCAATGTTTTAAATCATACAAGAACATGACAAAAAAATATTGCATTAAAATTAGAAAAAGGCATTTCAGAAAAACCTCTAATGTATACTGCTCACTAAAGTAATCATAAGGAGGATATATTTAAGCGAATTACTCTTCTTATGCAGGACAGGTTTCATATAAAAACAGGCCAAAAATGTAGGCTATATAAATTAAGAGGCTCTGAGCTAGAGATTGGGTTTAAAGCAGGTAATTCAAGAAAAAGTCCAAGGGTGAAGGCTCAATATTGACTAAAAGCAAAGAGAAGACTACATCTTAGTCTCTGATTTAAAGCTTCTGGAAATTCAATCATTTGCAACAAGTTAACAAATATTCTAACCAGCACAGAGCAGACAGATCCTCTGAGATATGCCCATTAAACATTTATTTCATGTAACACATTTTTCTGTGCAACTGCCCATTCTGTCAGTGTTAGGCAATGTGAAAATCATTAATTCCCACCCAGAATCAGCTGCATGCGTGAAGGAACTTGGTTGTATAGACCAGGGGTATCAAATTCGATTTCATTGAGGGCCACATCAGGGTTGTGTTTGACCTCGGGGGTGGGGGGCGTGGCCAGGTGGGTATCACTCGTGTCAGGGGCACCTGTGGTGGCCTGGGCAGGGCTGGAGGGGGATCCACTTTTGCTAGTAGTTTGTTTTGCTAGCGCCCTGCCAGCAAAAATGCAGCTCGGGAGAGCTGCACGTCACCCTCCCAAGCTCCATTTTCACTGGCAGAGGCACTGCGAGCCAGACCTTCACTGTTTTCAGGCAGCCCTGCAGGCCAGATCTAAGCACTCCGCAGGCTGGATCCGGCCCACGGGCCTTGAGTTTGACACCCCTGGTATAGACACTGAAGCTAAGCATTCAATCAGAAAGGGGGAAAATATGAACTTAAGAAAATTAATAGGATGAATGCACACACGGATAGATGGACAGATGTAAGGAAGGAAATCTTAGCAAGTCTGCTTTCTTTGCATTGCCATATCTCACTATCTAACATTAAGACGTGTGGACTTTCAGAATTCCCCAGTGGGAATTCTGGGAGTTGAAGTAGTCACATCTTAATGGTTTCCAAGTTTGAGAAACACTGCCGTATCTGAAAAGGAGGGAAAAATAAGCATGCACAGGTCTGTAAATTATACATATTTTTCATGGGATCATGACATCAGCTTTTTCTCTCATTTTTTTTATCAACCAACTTTCTTATTATCACAAAATGAAGAATTAACACATCCAAAAGCTGAAGTATGAGAAAACTGTAGAACGTTTTTGTACTGCAATGGAAATATATATGCATGTGACCGTCATACCCTATTCCCACATTTTGTATTTGAAGATCACACATAATTTGATGGAAGCCATCTGAACCTGTAAGAGATTAGAATGCTGACTAGCGTGTCCTGCGATTCATCATTTAATATATCACAATGTTTGTTATCACAACCAGACATTCATGATAGATGGAAGGACTGATCCATAAAACGATGGAATGTTACACTTCTGAGCAGAACAATGAGTACAAAAGGTTATTTCAGGTGGATGCCACAAGAGTTTAGAGCAATGAATGTGACACCAAGAAACATATTAGTATATAGTAGCAATTGGGAATAAATGGTGGGAAGCTCTTTCTTCTATAATTTTGCAAAGGAGAACAGAACCAACTTCTATAGTTTACTACTCCAATAAATAGGGTCACTGGGTAAGAATTGCTTTGATTATGATTTGGCATATTCATATACACACAAATAAAAACAAATATTTTCAAAATAAATCACATTTCCTCAATTGGAACGCTCTTTAAATGTTGAAACATCAAAATAGAGTTTTGCCAAAATATAATGGAGCCAAAGAAAAGAGAGGAGAAATAATGTTACACAGAATCAATATGCAATGATTTCAACCAACCTGAAAAGGAACGTCGTTTTATATTCAACTCATTAGCCACACGTACTTCAGTGCACAGTTTCAGCATCAATAACATTGTGGCTATCATTATAATGCTTTGCAATAATAAAGGTGACTCAAAATGTCTCCCAAACCTAAAAGAAGAAAAAGAGATATCAAGTGGTTGAACACTAAAAGAAAAAAAGACTTTCATAAAACAAAATTCCAGAATGGATATAAATTAATTTACTGATATTCAAATTCTTCCAAGAGCTGGTCACCATTTTAATTCTAGGTAGGGAACCAGAATATAAATCTATTAACTAGATAATCTTTTGACAAAATTACATCAGATGCCAAATAAACTGCTCTGGATAATTATAGAAAAATATAACAAATAATGGATAACAAAATTAACAAATTAAGAGTAATTTTTTTCTGAGTTTCCTAACCTTACATAGTGAAGAGAAGATTGTAAAATAGTGGAACTGGACATTCTTAATTTTAAATACATTTTTTTTTTGCCAAAGAACCTAAATCTATATACCATATTCAAAATCAGTTTCTCCCAATAAAACCACTAGAGGGAGATCCATGCTCCTCGTAAGCCTTTACTGATCATTAATAAAATCCTAAACCTGTAACAGCTTCACAAAACATTTTCAAATATATTAATACTTAATATTCATGTTTGCTATCATTTTTTAAAAAAACTTGGCCTTGTAATATTCATTTGCACTATGGCAGGTGTGACCAATTGGGCTTCCTTCAGCATCAATTCCAATGGTCTAATATCTGCAGTTGATTAACAAGGCATGTGTTCAGGCAATCCAAAAATGAAACTATAATCAGTAATTAAGAAATACAATTTAAAAAACATTGGAGGCTAACAGCACACAGCAATAAAAGACTCACTTGGTATTTAAGAACTATGCTTGCAAGTTTGCTGATAAACATAAAAGAACTTAACTGTCTCTGGGTCACTCAAGTTTGGGGAGACAAAGTGAGTTCCAAGAAGGCCGGTGGTGAATTTAGCAACCCATAGCAAAAAGAGAAAGTTTAGCAAATGCAGTATTTTCACATATATAGATGCAAATGTCCTAAAGGCCATTTTACACAGAGAGAACAGGCAGAGAAAACAAGGTTTCTGGACAAAACAGGGAGAAAAAATTCGCTTGCATTTGCATGACTGAGCTGTTTGTACTATCCAATGTTTGGAATAAAAAGACAAAGGAGAGTTGCTGCTCTCCACTAGATAAAAACAAAAGGGAAACAGAAAAAGCAAGAAAAAGGGGAGAAACTTGTTCTCTTCTAAAATGCTGGATGATTGACAGCCCTGGAAAGAGGGGATTTTAGTAAATCATCAGGAAGATATCCTCCAAAAAGATTTGTTGCCTGGACTGATGAGAAAGGGGGAAAGGAAGAATATCATAATCTATGATGAGCAGGCTATTTCCCATTACTATTCTAACAAAAGCCTTCACTGAAAAGTGTTGGTTTCACAACAGCAACAAAGCATTACTAACTTCACTATAGGAATCACAGTTTGTTCCATAGCTCAAGATTTACTGTTTAAGATTATGTTTGGGTATACACATTTCTATAGCCTATTCTTCCTTTTAAGAAAGTTAGAAGCCGCCAAATCATACCTCGTCCCTCACAGTGTCTCTCGCTTTTGGACATCTGTAATTTCATATATATTAACAATCGGAAACATGGAGAGAATTCAAGGGGAGTGCTTACAGAAGTTCAAGTATGTACATTGGGACTCCCTTGCCTGGAGTTTTAAGGGAATCTCCAAGAATCCATGATGGAATCTTTCAACAACAAGATATCTGAACCACCTTTATTCAACATATGTAAAAGCTTCCTTATAATTCCTTTTGTTGGATATCCTAATATCCTAGACTTGAATATTAGGCGATAATATCCAGCTGTCAAAAGCTGTCCCAACTCCTTCTGTATTTGGGCTAAGTATTACCTTCAAAGGTATATAAAATCCAACTGATAAAAGCTAACTGTAATCAAAGAATGGTTTGTTGTTGTTCAGTCACTAGATTGCGTCCGGCTCTTTGCAACTCCATGGACCATAGCACACCAGCCCCCGTCCTCCATTGTCTCCCAGAGTTTGCAAAAATACATGTTCATTTTGTCAATGATGCTATCTAACCATCTCATCCTCTGTTGTCCCCTTCTCTTTTTGCCTTCAATCTTTCCCAACATCATTGTCTCTTCCAAACAGTCCTCCCTTCTCATTAGATGGCCAAAGTATTTGAGCCAAAAAGAACCAGAAATTATTTTTATATGAGCTATACTATGGTATGATTAGTATCATTAATTTTTAATACTGCTTCAATTTTTAACTCTTGAGTATGTCTTTTGTAAGGTGAGAAAGAGAAGACTTTAAGAGCAGACTGAACACCATATATAAACGGTGTTCTCGGTGTCAAACTGTGGAAGCAAATGTTGGTCTTGAAAGACAGAAAGACGATGATTTTGGAATTCGGCTTTGGAAAAGAGAATACCATCAATAAAAATGGATCATCAAAGTTTTCTCACCCAAGGCACAAATGACCAGGCTCAAATTATCATACTTTGGACATGTTGTGTAAAGGCCTAGCGCTCTGAAGAGGGCTCTTATGCTGGGAAAGGTAAGACAAAAGAGAAGATGAGGATGACTGGCAGCAAATTGGATGGACTCATTTACTCTGGTGATAGGTGCATCATTGGAAAACCTGAAGAACAAGATTAAGGGCAGTTCATCAGAGAAGATGAATGTGGTTGCTAAAAGTTGATACCGAGTTGACAGCACAAATCAAGGGGTATATAAGATATTGAAAAGACACGAAGAAAGATTTTCCTACTGCCTACTGGTATGAAATTATTAATGAAGAAAGATATCGGGTAAACAGTTAAATTATAGAAGATGCAAGGATAAGCATAATACAATTTAATGCTAGTTTGGATAATAGTTTTTCCTCTGGGAATGATCAAAATACATTCCCAAAGAAAATGAATATTTGCTTGCTTATCTAAGTGTTAAAAGGACTTGCCAGGTATATTTGATGCAAATATGCTTCTGTTATATATATATATATATATATATATATATATATCCCATTATATCTTGCTAAAATTCAATCAACCATACAGATAGAGAGACTGAAAAAAATTAGCTTTTCTAAAAGAAGAGAATATCTGCAGCTCAGAGTTAAATAGGAGCCTTGATAGTACAGTGGTCTACGCACCCTGTTATTAACACAGCTGCCTGCAATTTACTGCTGGTTCGAATCTCTCCAAGGCTCAAGGTTGACTCAGCCTTCCATCCTTTCTAAGGTAGGTGAAATGAGGACCCAGTTTGTGGGGGCAATAAGCTGACTTTGTATAAAAAATATACAAAAGTAGGAAGGCTATTGCTTAACGCATTGTAAGCCGCCCTGAGTCTCCGGAGAAGGGTGGCATATAAATCAAATTAAAAAAAAAAACCAAAACTGTGGCGTCCTTGGTGCTGTCTGAGCTTGCTTGCTTGCGGTTGTTTTATTACCTAAGCAGTTAACATCATAAGTGACTAAAGTGCATTGTTGATGTTGCCGAATCAAGTAATGAAGTGTATGAAATCAAACAACCAAGTTCAAAGAACATCCAGGACTCCATTGTTTGCTGGACGTGCAGTAGCTTGTTCTTACAGTAGTCCTTTTTAATATAATTTTCTTCAGGGCTTGGTCAAACAGTAAGCCAAACTGAGAATGCAATTAAGGGAGGGGCAAACAATACACCATACAATTCTCCTCCCCTAAATATCAAAGCTAAGTTTAAGCTATTATGCATCCATCAAAAAAATAATGTTAATTTTGTCTACATTTAAAGATGAATGCATGGATCTACAGTGTTCCTCAATCTATAAAATGAGTACTGTGCAGCCAACCTAAAAGAACAGCACCCACAGGATGCTTTTTACCTAATTAAGGGTATCAGAGAAATAATCAAGAACAAATCACGTTCCATCTTTTGAATATTGCATGACCCGTTCCAAGAAGATTTTTGCCTTATGAGGCTTGAAAACATAAAGTTGAGTGCTGTAAAATAAATCGTAAAATCTTGTTTGCACCCCATCTTATACTGGTCTTTCTCAACTTACTGTAATACCTTCCAATTGTACTTGGCACTTTAAGCAATTCCCAAAATTGCAATAGCATTGTTCTTCAAAGTATCTGCAGAGCACCTATTTTAGAAAACTTTCTTACATCGTGCATGAAATGGCAATGTCTCTTGCTATGCCATATGTATACGAATGACCCTACACACACAGAACAAATAATTATTTTCATGTCCTATGGCTGGGTACCAATCTAATTTAATTCAAAATCCACAGGAAAAAAACTACCCAGGTCAAAGCGTCAAAACTGATTTTAAAAATGATACTGTACAGCTTTCTTCTCTAAACTCCCATCAACTTCCTGTAATTTTTTATCATAGAATCATACGACTGGAAGGTATCTTGGAGGTCTTCTAATCCAAGCTCCTGTTCAAAGCAGGAGTCTTTATACCATCCCAGACAAACGGTTCTCCAATTTTGTCTTAAAAACCTTCAGTAATGGAACACCCATAACCTAGGAGGCAAACCGTTCCATTGATTAATTATTTCATTGTCAGGAAATTCCTTTTTTCCAGGTTGGATCTCCCTCTGACAAGCTTCCACCCATTGCTTCTTTTCCTACCCTGAGGTGCTATGGAGAATAAATTGACTCTTTTCCCTGTGACAGTCCTTCAAGCGTTGGAAGACTTCTCTGAGTCTTCTATTAGGCTAAACATACCTAGTTCCCTTAGACATTCATCATATGATTCAGCCTCCTGATCCCTAATCATCTTTGAATGATTTATGTGGGGTGGGGATGGGGGTGGAGTGTGGTGTGTGTGTGTGTGTATGTGTGTGTGTGTACATATCTGTGTATGTGAATGACAATTAGTGTTCTTTTCTTTAAGAATAATTGGATTTGTCAACAAAGTAACATCTCTGAGCAACTTGAAAAATCAATCCGATATTCAAAATACTGATTCCATTGAGTGAGAAAGGGATGAATGCTAAGAAATGTGATGAAACAAAAATGACAGTAGATTGAAAAGTCAAATCCTGAACAAGGAAGATTTTGGGGAT